CCCCCCCCCCCCCAGTGGCTCAGCCATTGCCTGATGGCACCCTGGAAGTGCAGCAGGGCTTCTGAAGAAGGCATTCTGGCTGCCCTTTTCTCTACTATTTCAGGTAGAGATGAGTATTTATATAATGGCACTGCAATAAAAAAAAAATTAAAAAAATATAGGGTCTATTTCACAGCCCAACTGCAACCCAGGTGGCATCTTAATGACCTTCAGGACACGTGGCCCCATGGCTACTGACAGACATGCCCAGCCCCAGCAGCAACCACGGGAAATCAGAGGACGGCACAAGACGTCTCCTCACACAGGCAGGCCCCTGCTCCCTCCTCCCCCCCCCAGGCGCTGGGCTGCAGGGCAGGTGAAGGCAAGGCCGCGGCAGGCCTACCTCTCATTGGCAAGGATCGTCCTACCCAGCAGGGCCTCCGCCAGTCCCGGCTCCAGCCGTTCCAGCTGCTTTTTCACAGTGTCAAACATGTTCACTTCCATCATGTCAAAGACTAGGGGCTTTCCATACCTGCATGGGGGGGGGGAGAGGAGGAGGAGGAGGAGACCAGCACCCCAAGGAGGGAGGGAAGGCAGGGGCTGGGGGCTGAGCCTTGGGACCACCGTGCAGCTCCACCGTGGCCTCCCGCCTCCCTCAGAGAGCGCCCCCCCCTCCACCCCACGGGCTGACCGTGCTGCAGGGCACCTCTTCCCTGAATGCCTGGCTGCAGCCACAGACCAGGTTTTGATTGCTACACCTCTTCGGCGCCCCCCCCCACCGCCCCCAGTATCTGGCTTTCTTCCCTACCGAATGGCCCCCAGCAGTGCCAGACGGATGGTTTCCACGCTCATGTCACTGGGATTCACAGTGTTCAGGTAATTGGTATCACGGTAGCGCAAGAAGATGGCCGCTTGGCCAGAGGGATCGATTACTAGTGGCCACCTGTGGAGGCAGGGAGGAAGAGGCAGCCTCACACGTCAGGTCTCCCAGGGTCCGTTTGTTTCTGGGGACGATCCAAAGCGCTGGCTCTTACCATTAAGGCCTTCCATGATTTGGCACCAGGGCACTGGAAGGGCTGTGCCTTCTCCCATATTGTCCAGCAGGCCCGTTGAGATCTGCCTCAAAGCCCGGCTGTCCGTGCCTCCACCTCCAGGGCAGCCACAGACGGGGCTTTTTCAGGGGTGGCCCCTCACTTACAGAAGGCCCCTCATCCTTGAGGCTCACCTGGTGCCTACTTTGCTTGTTTAGTTTTAGGCTCCAGGCTAAAGCATTTCTGTTCACCCGGGCTCTGAGGTTGATCCTTTAATACTATTTTAGTCTGGAAATTTTATCTTAAGAAGAGCCCTGCTGGGTCAAACGAGGGAGGGTCCCCCGAGCCCAGCATCCTGTCTCACACAGGGGCCAGCCAGTTCTTCTGCAGGGCCAGCAACAGTGCAGAGAGGCCTTCCCCTGAGAAGAACCTCAGAAGAGCCCTGCTGGGTCAGACCAGGGAGAGTCCATCTCGTCCAGCCTCCTGCCTCACCCAGTGGCCAGCCAGTTCCTCTGGAGGTCCAACAAACAAGGCAGAGGGGCTGAGGCCTTCCCCTGAGAAGAACCTCAGAAGAGCCCTGCTGGGTCAGACCAGGGAGGGTCCATCTAGTCCAAGGCGGTGGGTGGGGAGAGTGATACTCTTTCTGGGTGATGGGAAGGGGGGGTGCAAACCCATGCAACTTACCGCCCATCAGAATGGATTTTTCCGCCCACGTCTTTGAAGAGCACGTCATCCAGCTCCTGGACAGAGCACTTCAGGCCCTGGAACTCAGCCCTTGCCTCTGGAAACGGAGCACACAGCAAGAGAAGAGAGGCTGGCCTCCCCACGGCGGCCTTCCTCTCCATTTCCAAAGGAAACCCTGCTCAGCTCTTGGGCAGCATGGCAGCTGCTTCAGGGGACAGCGAAGGAGCACTCCACCACCACGACACACCCCAAAGGGAAGCGTCCACACCCACCACCATCCTCAGGCCTCTGGCAGCCACTGCACAGCTCTTTCAGAACTGGGGTCTCCCTGGTGACACCACCACTGCTCCTGCACGCGGTGCTCTTCGGACGCTCTTATCAGTCTTAAAAGCTCTTCACAATTGAAACAGGGTTACTGTGAGGGTGGGAATTTGGCCCCTTGCTAATAACCATCCATACAAAGCAAAACCTCTGACAGCACCTCAATTATGTTATTGCCATCTTGTGAGTTGTGTATACAACGGAGTCTTAATTTTTACAGTATTATGTTTTAATCTTTTAAATTGTATATCTATGTGTTGTGAGCCACCCTGAGCCGGCTTGAGAGTTCGAGAGGTAGAGGATGATAGAAATCTCTGAGCTGTTCAAGAGGGAGAGGATGACAGAAATCTCTCTCTCTCTCCCCCCCTCCCCCTCCAGAGAGCCCCGTAGCCCCCTCCAGCCCTCACTGACTGAGGGAGGAGCCCAAACTCTTGCGGTTCCTCCTCAACACAGAAGTGAAATGTGGGGGGGACACCCAACAGAGCCCAAAGGTCACTCAGGAAGCCAGAAAGGTCACCGCCTGGCAGCAATTCCGCACTGAGCTGGCCAGGGGGATGGGGCAGCAGAAACTTGGGGCATCAGATAATTCCCCCGAGCCTGACTGGGGAAAGGGGGGACTGGCAGGGGCAGCCATGGGTGAGTCGGAGGATGGCACACACAAGCTCTGCCGCCTGCAGAGGCCTCCTCCTCCTCCTCCAGGGAGCCTACAGGAACGGCACCCCAGGTGGGTGTCAAACAGAGGGGGTGCCCTTCACCTACCTCCCTGCAACTGTTCCAGCAGCTGGAGCCGGGCCAGGGACATCTTTAGCCTTCGGCTTTCTAACCCTCCAGCCGCAGTTTCTGCACCACCCCTTCTGCGTCCGCAATGGCCTTCAACAGACAGTGCATGCAAAAGCAAATTTGGAAAATTAATAAAATCCTGTCCTTCGGGACAGTAAAAAAAAAAAAGTTTGCAAAAGCAAGGGAGGAACTCCTGTGACTTCCCCACTCCACTCAAGGCAAAATGTACTCTGGGTGGTCAAAGGCTGTATTTGGGCTTAATCTGAAAGTGATGTCGTCTTATTATTCTCCTGTTTGGGAGTGGCAACTGAAATCCTTCATTAGTAACATGCGGCAATTCTCTGAGCCTTCATTTAGTTAAAATATTTATTTCCTACTCCCGAGTCCCCTCCAAAAAGTGTCCAGCTCACAATTGCTATAAGAACAGTAAAACAACGACATCTAATAACATCACAACTGCACTCCACTGTCAAACATTAACATCACAAAAAACAGCAGCACCCGTAGTCCAAAGAGAACGGAACAAAAACGCTTTGTTCTGCTTCTCTGGAACCAAAGCAGTTTGCAGCCACGGCTCGGACGCAGCAGAGACGCAGTTCTCCTCGCCTCTTAAGAACATAAGAACATAAGAACATAAGAGATGCCAATGTTGGATCAGGCCAAAGGCCCATCCAGTCCAACACTCTGTATCCCACAGTGGCCAGAAATACCAGTGCCATCAGGAGGTCCACCAGTGGGGCCAGGACATTAGAAGCCCTCCCACTGTTGACCCCCCCCAAGCACCAAGATGACAGAGCATCACTTGCCCCAGAGTCCCTATCTATACCTGGAGAAGCCCGTGCCAGGGGAGGGGGGCCCTCAGAAGTGTGGGCATCCAAGGCATCCTGAGCTCTAAAGGTCAGGACCAGCCCATTCAAACACACAGATGCTGGCTGACCACTATGCAAAACAGGACGCTGGATAAGATGGAAGACGAGTCCGATCCTGCAGGGCTGTTCCGATGTTGTTATTTTCTAAGGCTCAGCAAGTTAGAACCAGAACAAATCCACATTATCTTCCTGCTTATCCTCACTAAAGGTAAAGGTAAAGGTTCCCTTGCTCGAAAGCCAGTCGAGTCCGACTCTAGGGTTCCGGTGCTCATCTCCGTTTCAAAGCCGAAGAGCCAGCGCTGTCCGAAGACATTTCCGTGGTCTTGTGGCCGGCATGACTAAACACCAAGGCGCACAGAACGCTGTTCCCTTCCCACCGAAGTGGTCCCTATTGATCTACTTGCCATTTCTTGCTTTCGAACTGCTAGACTGGCAGGAGCTGGAACTAGAGACGGGAGCTCACTCTGTCACGCGGCACACTCGGGTCTCGAACTGCTGAACGACCGACCTTCCACAGTCTGCAGCTCAGCGCCTTAACCCCTTGAGCCACCGCAGCTCTTCACTACACATGCCTCTTTCTCTTTGTTGTCTCCCTTCTGCCAAATTTCAGATACAGACGATAGATCCCTGCTCTGAGGACCTTGCAAAGATCTAAAATCCAGTGTGGAAAGCTGTCTGTCTCTCTACTGGGTGTGCCAGGTGATTCTACTTCTGTGAGGCAAGTAAAGCCACAGTCTCTGAATCACAGAATCGTAGAATCACATGGTTGGAAGGGACCTTTGGGGTCATCTAGCCCAGCCCCCCCCCCCCAAGCATCAGGCAGAAAGTATTCAGAGTGCATCATTTATGACTGGCCAGCTGGTGGACAGATTTAACCACTTCCTCCGTATCTTAGACCTAATGCAATGGGGGAATGAGAGGGGGTATGCATTTTGATTGGGTGCAGGGAGGAGTCAACAGGCCAGCTCCAGCCCGGGGTCTGGAGAGGTTTGCAGAGAGTGTTGGGTTCAGCGGCTGAATCACTCAGGGAGAGCCGAGAGGAAGATCTGGCAGATGCTGGTGGGACCAACGGAAGGAGCGGCAGGAGAAGAGACCAGCGGAGGAAGAGCTGTCGGAAGGAAGGAAGGAAGGAAGGAAGGAAGGAAGGAAGGAACCTGTGATCTGGCCGGGGGCGAGGAGGAAGAGGAGCCTCAGCTGAGGAAGAGCTGGAGTCTTCCAAGAGCAGAGCTTTGGTGTCCTGAGTCCAGCATTTGCCCACGGGGAATCATGAGCCACAGATGTGTGCCACACGTGGGTTTTCAAAACCCTTAACATGGCCCTGTCCCAAAGGAGGACTTCAGAACAGCACCCGCAAGGCTCTATGGGAGCTGGCTGTTGGTGGAGCCTGCGGAAAAGGAAGCTTGGCTGCTTCAAAGGGGCCGGAGGGGAGGCCTAGAAAAGCAGTGCCACCTGCCTGGGTCGCAGCAACACTAAAGAAACCAAGGGGAAACTTTACCTTCCTAAGAAACGTCTGGTTAAATATTCAAGCCACCAGGTATAAATGTAAGGGAGATAGGGGCACTGGGGGGAAATATGTAAGACCGCAGCAGCCTCCTCATACTGGCAGTGCGGCTGAGGGGTGGGACAAGTCAAACTAGGCGGGGAAAAGACAAGCTACACCGCCCCACCCCCCACCCCCACGCTACTAACGGGGCCGGGAGAGGAAGGGAGGGGGGAGGGCCAGGGAGGCAGCAGGTGTTGCCACAGGCTGGCGAGCCACTGGGGGTGGGGGCTACCAGGCAGCTGTGCCCGAAGCCCTCTGCCCAGGTCTCCCCACGCCCTGGGGGAGGGGCCGTTGTGGGGAGGGGGGGAGGGCCACGGCATCAAATTCCGCCAGCTGCTGGGGGGGTGGGCAGAGAGGAGACTTTTCCAGGGAGGGGCCAGCAGGTGAGGCTTTCCCGGCAGGCCGGAGCTCAGAGTCCCTTCCTGTGGGCCTGCGGGGCTCCGCTGAGGGGGGCTCCAGCGGCTTCCTCTCCTGGAACACCCGGTGGGCAAAGGGAGGCGCTGTGAGGACAGCGAGGCCGGGGCTCACGTGGAGGGTGACCTCTGCATTGCCCATCTGCTTCCGCTGGCACTTGTCATGCTCAGTTATCCGCCGGTTCAGCTCACAGTAGGCCTGCTGCAGCTGCAAGAGAAAACACCCGCGGCATTACGGGGGGGGGGGCGCAACGGAAACTCCTCCCTGCCCCACCCCCGAGCAGCCGTGAGCAGAGGAAGCGCCCGACAAGGAGCAGGCCGGCCAGAGTTCACGGTGGGCTCGCTTCTCTCCCTCACGGCCGGCACCATGCCGCCATCGAGTTGCAAGCGCAGGATGCCGAGTGACGGGGCATGGCACACGCTGGGGAACAACCAGTACGGCGATGCAAGAGGCCAAAGGGCTCTACGGGGAAGTGCTGGGGTCCTTCATTCAGGGTCGATGGTTGTTGTATAGGATTCTGCCCCTCAAGCCTGTCCAGGAATGAGAGGGAATCCTATACTTTTACAATACATTAAGCAACAACCCAGAGAGGTAGGCTACCCTCTCTGGATTTCAGAACAATAAGCCACCAGAACCTCTTTTAACTAGAATCCCCTTCCAGCCTAAGAGCAAGGTCCAGACTCTTAGCTGGCATCTAGGGCTTAACACATTAGCACCTCATTCCCAGAGATGCACACTTTTTACTCTCCACTAGTAGTGTATATGGTGAGCGTTTAGGCCACAAGATTTAGGCTTGGAATTCAGGTACAACATCAGAGACAATTTTAGAAACACGGATGATTTTTATTCAATACAGAGCACTGCAATTAAACTATAAGAGATTACAAAATAAGAAAGGCTAGGCTGTTTGCCTTAACTACACAATAAAAGATACATATTTACCAAGTTGAGGAATATCCAAACAGTCCAAGGGATTTTGAAGGCAAAATCCATCTTTGCTCAGCCATGTGGTCCAATTCACAAAGCCAGCCCTTCGTCTCTTCAAAGGACGGCATTTCCAGGTGTCATAAAACAACAAGCAGGGAGCAGAGAGCTCCCGAACAGGGACACAGGAGCAGCAGAGAGAACAGAGCTCCCTCCCATTGGGAATGACCAGTCATAGGCCCCTTCCAGTCCCAATCAGCCCTGGCCAGGCAGCCAACTGCGAGTGGACATGGGTGTGTGGCCAAATGGTTGGTTGCCACAGCTGCAACACAGGGTTGGTTATGAGTTTGGAGGCCACGCCTGCAAGCAACTGACCTACTTCCCAGGTACCTCATGGGCTACATGCCTACACTCATGTAAGGCCTAGCTTCCAGCATGGAAGTGTGAAGAATGTGGGTCTATGGCATGGCAACTGAGGCCATGAGGGCCCACCATTTGGCTTGTAACAGGAAACAAGGCACAGCCTGTTACCAAAAGACAGAACAGGAGAACGCAGGAGACATTTAGAAATCAATATTTCTATATAGATGTACTGCAAACACAAGAGCCACACTTAGTAAAAGAAAAATATCTTTACTATAAAAACAAAATAAAACAAGGGTATGGTACTTTGGATAAAAGAAATAACAGCTACATCTTTCTATCTGTCTTGGCTTCTAGAAGAGAACTACCGCTTTGGTTCACACAAAGGGCCATAAACCTTGTGAATACATAAATGCTAGATCAAAGCATTTCTACAAACAAGATGTTAGTTGACCAATACAAAGGTTACAGGTCACTTCATTAGGATAAACAACTCCCACAAACTTTTCCTGCCGTTGAATACATTATGTAATGTAACATACTGTTTGCTAACAAACAACATTTAACTCTGTAATGGCTGAAGTGTAAGCAACTTGCAATTCCAACAGGAAGACAACGAGGCACGTGGGAAAGGGGGATTTTGGCCCTCACCTCCTTGCTGCGTCTCTCGTACTCCTTGGCCAACCGCTCTACCTCCTCTGTCATTCTGTGGAGAGAACAGCAGAGCACAGTGTCAGAAGGTCTCCAGGGCTTTCTTCGGCCTTCAGATCTGGGATCCAGCTCCCAGCCTAACCTGCAACAGCTTTCCCTTCATCACTTTCTTTTGCTCTTTTTCTTCAATAAACCCAAGTAGCAGCAGAAACGTAGAACAGCAGAAGTGGTCCTTCCGTAGAAGAAGCCAACTGAGCGCTCGGTTTGTTTATTGATTTATTCTATACCCCACACCCTTTCCTGCAGGTGTAGGTGACAAAGCGAGGTCTTTGCCACCCTGGCCGCGTGGTAAGAGAAGGACCGAGCCACACCCCTAAGCTCCTCGCAGCCTCCACTGCAGAGCGCTGGATGCCGTGAAGGGCAGGTAAAGCTGGCCACCCTGAGCCCCTGACCTACCCAACCACGGGACCTCCATTCCCAAAGGACTGAACTTCAGCCGGCTCCCACCAGTTGGAAGTTATTAACGTACACTGTTTTATTCACTGAAGAGACAAATTACAAAACATCCTGTAACCAACACTTCTTGTGCAAATAGTTTTATCTCGTTTACTGTTAATCCAGAGTCATACGCTGTATAAAATATAAGAGTCTCATCCTTAGCCTTACAGCTTGATCACAATACTGCAGGAAAGGTTAATTAATAAGACTGGAATTAAATTCCTGGTGGCAGCATTACATACCTTGAACAACTAGAAATTTAAAACCATATCATACCTAATGACACAAATTAAAAAGAGAGGTAGAGTGACAACGTGCAATAAAGATGCATTTTGGGCGAGGCTGGAAGGCAAACTCACCGGTGCGTCTCTGCTGCTTTTTGCTTCTCTTCCAGATGGGCCCTCCGCTGCTGCTCGGCCTCCATCTTCTGGAGCATCGAGTCTGTCAGGCTGACATCCCAGGAGTTCAGGATGGCCACCAAGCTGTCTATAGAGGCAACCTGGGAGAGAAATAAAGCTCTTGGCCTTCACCATTGCCCTCTGCTGCGCAGGAAGAACAGGCGGTTGGGACTGCCCACTCCCTGGCGGTGAGCCTGCCTGACCACCGAGGCCTCCTGCAGAGGGCCTGCTTTGGGTGTCCCTCCTTCTGGGATTAGGCAGGTGGCAATCGAGGGGAAGGCCTTCTCAGCAGTGGCACCAAAACCCTGGAACGCCCTTCCCACCAGGGAGATTCACCTGTCCCCTTCGGTTGCCGTCTACATCCAGCAGGTGGAGGACTTTTTTTCATTTCATTTCCCCTGGCTATTCCCTCACTGATCCCTCCTTCCTCCCCAGTGTTTTAATTGTTGTTTTTATCTTTTGTACTTATTTTCAGCTCTGGTTTTAACTTGTTTTAAGTATTTGTGTGTTGGTTTTAATGGCTTTTATGGTGAGATTTTAATTTGTACACTTTAACTCAGGGGTGTCAAACACAAGGCCCGGGGGCCAGATCCGGCCCGTCCATCCAGAGGGCTCCTCTGCGGCCCGCGAGCAACAGTGGTGCAAGGGAGGGAGGGGGTGCTGGTGGGGGGGGAGTGGGCGGAGCCACTCTACTGTGTGGCTTCAACACAGCAGAACAACCTCATCCGCAGCTGTCAAGCAGTGTGGGAGTGTCTACGCCCAGTGCTGCACCACTGGGGCTCTCCAGTCCACCCACATGGGGTCTTCCTTTGCACACACCCCTCCCAGCCCATGGGGGGGCCTTGCAGTGAGGATACACCAACTGGGACCTTACCAGCTGCTGTCCTTTATACAGTTTCTATCTCCAGTACCTGGCATTGTGTTTTATGGCACATGTGGCCCGGCCCAACAACGTAACATTTGTGTCAGATCCTGCTCTCGTAACAAATGAGTTTGACACCTCTGCTTTAATTCATTAGTTGCCCCGGGGCAAGGGAGAAAGGTGGGGCAAAAATCCTGGTAACAGCAACAACGATCTCCATCACCACCACCCTCGGCTGCCAACTGCTGCCTTCAGAAAGAAGAGCAGGTAGTGGCTGGAGATGGGACTGGGAGGCTTGGTTTCCCACTAAGTCCCATTTCAGTCAAGGAGAAGGTGAGCTCTGTGAGCCCCAGAGGGCTTTACGATCTGCCAATCAACATCTTCTCGTGGTCCCTGGCCCCAGGGACGTCCGCCTCACCTTGACTAGGGCCAGGGCCTTTTCAGCCCTGGCCCCTACCTGATGGAATGAGCTCCCATATGAGACCAGGGCCCTGCGGGACCTTTTGCAAGACGGAGCTCTTCCACCGGGCTTTTAACTAGGGCAACGGACGTCCCTCCCTCTTTCCTGGGCCTCCCCTCCACAGGTCAGAACTGCATACCAGAGTTGGCATCTGTGAGGTTTTAATGTCAATGGCAACGGCACCGGATGAGGGCCACTGTGGTATTTTACTAGTGTTTTAATTGTATTAATTGTGTATGTTGTATTTTTATCAAATTTGATGTAACCCGCCCTGAGCCTGCCATGCAGGGAGGGCGGAGTATAAGTCGAATAAAATAAACAAATAAGTAATCGCCTTCGGGACAGGCATTAGCCTTGACTAAGGGGCTACAACCCTGCCGAGGCTTGCCCCAGACTTCGTGCCTAACTCAAAATCAGCCTTATTAATCATCATGCCACACAGAGCTCAAAATTTGTAGCAACCAGGGTGCTAACTGAAGAATCATGGAAGCAAGAGGATGATGCGCTGGATATAGAATGGCTTAAGAAACTGGGCTTCATTGTTGTGTCTCTGTGCCGTCCCACATGGCAAAATTTTCCACACAGAGAAGAAGGAGGAGGCAGAGGAGGAGATTGAATGTATACCCCACCCTTCACTACCCAAAGGAGTCTCAGAGCAGCTTTCCTTTCCCTTCCCCTCCCCACAACAGACAGCCTGTGAGGAAGGTGGGGCTGAGAGGGCTCTTTCAAGAACTGCTCTTTCCGGAACAGCTCCAAGAGAACTGTGACTGACCCAAGGTCAGGCCAGCAGCTGTATATGGAGGAGTGAGGAATCAAACCCAGTTCTCCCAGATTAGAGTCCACGCTCCTAACCACCACACCATTTTTGGGAAGGTAAAAGATTTTTTCTCAAAGTCTGTTTACTCAGACATGGTTTCCATTTATTGTATACTAGAACAAAAATAATCCAAGATACCATGTAAAAGATGAGATATTGAACCTTCTTTAATGAGCAAATCCCTGTTACTGCTCTCCAGTTTTTCTTTTCTTCTTCTTAATCTACATTCTGGTTTATTTGGTCTGTAATTTAACAAATGTATAATCATAAATAATTCTGAGAGAGAGAGAGAGATTTTGTCTATTAGCCAAATGGCTCAAATGTGTATATACTCATAGAATCATAGAATCACAGAGTTGGAAGGGGCCATACAGGCCATCCAGTCCAACCCCCTGCTGCTCAATGCAGGATCAGCCCAGAGCATCCCTGACAAGTGTTTGTCCAGCTGCTGCTTAGAGACTGCCGGTGAGGGGGAGCTCACCACCTCCCCAGGGCAGCTGATTCCACTGTGGCACGACTCTCACTGTGTTATGTATTGAGCCTGAACTGTCCTTGCAAAAGGGATGCATAACAGTAGCTTGCTAGGATCCTAGAATGGACCAGTAGGGAGACAGGGATCCTAGAGTAAACCAATTGGGAAACAATAGAGTGTAACTAGTGTAACCTTTTTCAGGCATAAATACCCAGCTTCGGCTAGGGATTGCAGTCTTCTTCTTTCTCTTGCTGAATCACTAATAAACTATGAGCTGATCACTTTTACACGTCTGAACCCAGGATATTTCACACTGTTAAAAAGTTTTTCCTAAGATCCAGCCAGTAACTTCCCGCCCTTAATTTAAACCCATTATTTATCAGAACTTATACATCAAGACCAAACAGGATTTTTACCAAAAAGGCAATGAAGGAATAAAGTTAGAGTGGTACTAAATATACTAGAATACTATGAAGCTCATCCTGAGAAACAGATGGCCTTAGTATTTTTGGATGCTAAAAAAGCCTTCGACAATGTTAGCTGGCAATTTCTTATTGAAGGAAATCAAATTTGGGCCCCATTTTATAAGAGTAGTTGAAGCTATTTATACCAAACAGAAAGCAAGGATAGCTGTAAATGGTGACTTGACAGATATTATTTGGATTGAGAAAGGGACAAGACAAAGATGCCCTTCATCGCTATTCTTATTTAGAAGAAGAAGAGACTGGATTTATACCCCGCCCTTCACTTGGGAGTCTCAGAGCGGCTTACAAACTCCTTTCCCTTCCCCTCCCCACAACAGACACCCTGTGAGGTGGGTGGGGCTGAGAGAACTCTGACACAAACTGCTCTTTTTCAAGGACAGCTGTGCCAGAGCTTGTGACTGACCCAAGGTCACATCAGCAGGTGCAAGTGGAGGAGTGGGGAATCAAACCCGGTTCTCCCAGATTAGAGTCCGCACACTTAACCACTACACTAAACTGGCTCTTGGAAGTTTTGACAAGAGCTGTTAGGAAAGACTCTGCAATCAAAGGAGCCTCAGTTAAGGGTCATAAGTATAAGTTAAAAGCATTTGCAGATGACTTAGTATTTATCCTGGAAGACCCAGCAGACTCTATAGAACATTTGTTGAATAATATTAAAGGGTATGGAGAAATGGCTGGGATGGAAATAAACTACCAAAAGACAAAGGTTATAACAAAGAGCATGACTTCTAATCAAAAACAGAGGTTATTAATTCAACAGGATTTCAGCTGGAGAAAAATGTTAAGTATTTGGGAATATACTTAACTCCAAAGTGTAGTTCTTTGACGAAGGATAATTATCTGAAATTGCTTCAAAAAGTTAAGAAAGCTCTAGAAAGATGGAAAGATCTTCATTTATTCCTAATGGGAAGGATTGCAGCTGTGAAAATGAACATATTGCCACGTATTATTTTTTTTATACCAAACTATTCCTGTTTGTATTAATTGCTCTTTTTTGAAGATATGAATAAGCTAATATCTAATTTTATTTGGCAAGGGAAAATGCCAAGAATTAAGTTGAAAGCGTTAGAAAACTTTAAAGAAAATGCAGGTTTTGCTTTACCAGATTGGAAGATATATTATAGAGTGTCTTGCTTGGTATGGATGCGAAATTGGATTCTGCTTGAAAATCAAACACTTTTAGCCCTAGAGGGACAGGATTTAAAGATAGGGTGGCATGCTTTTGTTTGGTATAAGAAAGCGGTTGGACATAAATTCTTTAAAAAATCATATGATAAGAAAATCCTTATTAACAATTGGGGGGGAAATCTTACCTTTGATATACTCTAAAATTCCAAGATGGGTCTCAACTCATTAAGCCTTTTCACAACCAAATTTAATCTCATTAGACAAAATTCTCAGATATGAAGATCTTTTAGATGATAACGGATTTTGAAAAACAAAGGAAGAGTTAATAAGGCAAGGGGTCAGTCTGGATTGGTGGGCAAGGTCTCAAATTGACTCCAGATACACTAAAGACAGAAAAGTTGTTTTTTATTCTAAACAAAGTACATTTGAGAAGCTGTTATGTACATCTAATAATAAGCTGATCAAAAGATATATGTATTTTTAATGAAAATGAAAATGGAAGATGAAGTGGTTAAAGACTATATGGTGAAAGGGATGCAAAATATAGGTTATAAAATTGATCTTACACAATGGAGTAAACTATGGAAAGTGAATGTGAAAATAACTAAATTGGTGGCATTTAAAGAGAATCTGTATAAGATGTTTTACAGATGGTATCTAGCACCAGACAGATTAGCTAAAATGTACAAAAATATGTTGACTAATTGCTGGAAGTGTAAAAAACATGTGGGTACGTTTTACCATATGTGGTGGACATATGATACAGTGTATAAGTTTTGGGTTATGGTAAATACTTTTATTCAGACAGTTTTACCGATTTCAATACCTTTTCGACCAGAATTGTTTTTATTTAATTGTATACCAGAGGACTTCGATA